ATTCCTGAGGTGCAGGCATGCATTTTCTTCTGCTCACTCTGCTGTTGCTCTCTGGAGAACCAGTGATGTCTGGAAGAGTGAGACTAGCAGTTGGAGTGGTGGCATCTTTATCTGTTACAGCAAGATCCAACAAAGCTTGTCTGCCAAATGCCTGGTAACCATAGGCTATAAAAATTGCAGCAGTGAGGGGTTTGCAGTATTCTGCAGGCTGGGATCAGAATTGTTTGGTCCTAGGGAATAAGAAATACAGGTAGTTTACCTTATGTTAGGTCCTTGAGTAGAAAATAGACAAGTCAGAAAAACGTTTTCTGTGTGTTTCCAAAGAATGCCTTAAAAATCTTCATTACAAAAAAAAGTATTCTTGGTATTGTAACCATAGAAATTAATTCCTCATGGCTTTTATTTTTTAATCATTATGGCAATATGTGAAATTTTAATCTAATTTTTTTTTTTTGCTTAAGTAACATTTCTATTGATTATTTTTTGTGTTAACTTTTTAGAGTCCCTCTTGGTGTTTTTTGGTCTATTTGCTTGGGCTTAGTCTGGCTACACTTGCTTGAAGTACCTGATCCTTCTGTGGTTCCTCATTATCAGGCTGGTGTAGTGGCATTTGGTCTTTCTGCAATTATTGAACTTCTGGGAGAACCATTCTGGGTTTTAGCACAAGCTCATTTGTTTGTGAGACTTAAGGTTAGTAAAGTACATGGGATGTATGTGTGTGAGGGTGAATTATCTTTCTGTCTTGAAAAGAACTGATTACTGAACTAGACCTTTGAATATTCAAACATATAAAAACCCCCTGTGTGTACTGTTTAGTACTGTATGACATAGTTGTAACATAGATATGAATTTGTACCTGTTAAAGCAAGAAAGTTGGTTTATTTAGAAATTATCACCTTAATGATCATTAAATACTTAATGAGTTTTAGTTGAAGGGAGAGGAACACAGCTTTGACAATTTTGCATTTCAATTGATGGTTGGTATGAAATTGTAAGATGCAACAATTGAGAACATAAGATTGTCTCAAGCAAAATTTTCTCCCTTATGTCCCGTGCAAAGGACTGGGAAAGTGCAACAGAGGAATTGTGAAATGCAGGAATGGAAAATTTTCAGAGAAATTACAATCTCAGCTGGCCAGCTCAGCAGAAAGAAACTCTGTGATAAAGCCACACTGACTTTGAAAGTTTTATATTCCTACATAAATTCTGTGTGTGAAACTAAGGTATTTTAAGTTTGTTGGCAGAAAGTAAACCTTCTCTATTTTCTCTTTCTTAAAGGTAATTGCTGAAAGCCTTTCAGTAGTGTCAAAATGCATTTTGACGGTTATTTTAGTGGTCCTTTATCCTCAGTGGGGCCTCTACATTTTTTCCTTGGCTCAGGTAAGTTTCCCGTGTTCTCTTTTTCCATAAATTCTTGATTCAGCTGAATTTTTATTTGCCTTTGACATTCAGCCTGCTTTGGGGAGGTGAGAGAAAATGCTCCTGGGAGGTTTAAGATTTAGTATTTGTGTTTAGTATTCTCCTGATACTCGTTACTGACTTGGCACTTTGACTTCGAGCAGTTTAATGGAGGTACAAGAAAAGCATCTTTTCTGTCTGTGAAGGCACATTTGCTAATAAGGTTATGTTACACTGTATGTAGACAGTAACTACTCCATCAACTTAATTTTTGACTAATTGTTTTATAATTGGACTTTAAATAATCATTCTAAAAATGCTGAATTGAACATAAAAGTTACCAAAGGGTTATGGTAACCTACAGATAAAAAAAAAAAAAAATCAACAGCGTTCTTGAGAGGTGTTAAATTAAATCTTTACCTAGTTTAATATTTGACAGGAGTAAGGACTACTTATTACATTTTCTTCTCACTGAATTTGGAACTCTAGCATGTAATTCTGCATTCATAAGTTTATTTTATATCACTGGTGGTTTTTTTCTTCCTTATCTTTCCAGCTTTTATATGTCAGTGTTCTGGTAATGTGCTATGTAATTTACTTTGTGATGTTTTTGGGGTCCCCTGAAGCAACAAAGAAGTCATTTCCCGTTGCTAGAATGAAAGCACTGTTGCCTAACTGGGTGGAAGATGAGGTAGGTTACACAGTTCATTTCTTGATTTTAAGTTTCTTTTCTTGAGAGCGCTATGAAAATTAGTTTGAGATGGTGGAGTTAAAATTGAGTGATTTTGAGGATATCATTGCACTGTAGAAGATATGACTGATTAAAAAAAAGTTACATACAAATTCTGCTTGTGGTTTGTATCAATAATCCTTGTCAAAAAAGGTTGTGAAACTTGACCTCTCTGTTACGGGCTTGTTGCTGGCTTATCTTTTAGTATCTTTGCACAAACCATTAACTGGAGATAGAACATTGCAGTGTGCAGGGGAATTACCAGCTATTGTTGGATCTGAGGCAGGATAGAAACCAAAATCATTTTACCACAGATTTTGGTACTTGGACTTTTCCACAATATGAACATGGTGGTACACAGCATCCTACAGATATTCAAATATCTCTGATGTGATCTCAAAAGAAAATGAGGCAAGAAAGAAATGAAAAGACACAGTGAGGAAGAAGACATTTTGAAAAAGATTTGCAGTTAGAAAAGATAAAGGCCATTCTTAGTTGCAAGACTTGTGGGGACAGTTTGAAGAGCAGTGAACAATTTATATCTACAGTGAAGGAGACAGTTATATTGGCATGCCAAAACAGCATGTGGTTTTTTTTTTTTTTTACCAGTGTCTAACTTTGAATAATATTTTCTGTAAAAAGCTTGTTTGGGTACTTCATCTGCAACAACAGTAAATTTGGGCAAGGAAAAAAGTCTTTGCCAGATCAGAGTGATAATTGGTGCTTGAATTGAGCAATATTTTAGATTAGTTGTTAGTAGCTGTGACATCGTGGGTTTTCCTCATCAGTACGGTTAGAGCTAGCCTGGAGTACTGTACTGGCTTTGTATTTTCTATTTCTACTCTGTAGTTTCAATCATGTTTGTTACATTAAATACTACTTTTTTATGCAGACCTTTGTTAACTGGAAGGAAGCACGGTTGACTTGGAGTTTCTTCAAACAATCGTTCCTGAAACAGATTTTGACAGAAGGTGAGGCTTGATGCATAGTTGTGATGGAGAAAGGTCAGTGAGTACTATTTACAAAATTGACTTAAAGCTTGAGAAAGGTTGGGGGGGAGTGTGGGCATGTGACTTTCAGAGGTTGTTGCCAGCAGATGTTGCCAACCTGAATGAAGTGTTTGAGGGTATTCTGTACTAAGTGTCTCTTGAATACTAAATCTTGGAAGTGCCTGAACAAGTATTGGGAAAAATTTAAGGACTTTTTCTAAAGTTCTTTATTTTGAACTTACAGGTGAACGATATGTGATGACTTTTTTGAATGTGTTAAATTTTGGAGATCAGGGTAAGTGTGATGGTTTTGTGGAATGGTGACACAGTTTTCTTAGTCACTGCTCTTCAGGTGGATCTGAAAATGACTTAAAGTATTGGAAAATAACTTGAAAATCTGAGAAGATTTCAAAGCCTTTGTGACTTTGAGATACTTTTCAGAGAATGATTGATATAGAAAAGAATTTAATTTAAGATGCTGGATTTTGGTTTTATTTTTCTTTGGACCAAAACTTTCCAATTGGGTATATGATACCATGTATCTTGGTGGGTTTTTTTAAACTTCATTGGTATCAGATGCGTTAAAGTTGTCTGTCTTCAGTTTTTGTAATTCTGTTTTCCTGCTGTTTTCTGCCTTCCTTTTGAATCTATGTTAGCTGTTACAGCAAAACCATCATTCTTTATAGCATTGCATCTCAAAACGGTAAAAGAATTCAGTGTGGTTACAGAGTAATGTAGGGCAGTACCTGTTCAGATGACTGAGTTGGCGGCACCTTGGGGAAGGAAAATAGACTGCAATTGTTGGCCCACTGTTAGAAGTTTCTTGGCTAGTCTGAATTACTTTTAATTGCTGGCAGTAGTATGTTCCCCCATAAATACTGAGTGTATGTGCTTGCCACCAGTAACTGCAGCTGCTTCTGATCTTCCTCCCCTGCAGAACGATTGACCTGCCTCTTACTTGAAAGGTCTTTAAAAAAGCAATGAGTACAAAAATGCCTGTACTCTCCTAATGCTGAGAAACATTGGTTCCAAGTCCTATGATATCAGCCAGAACTGTATTCTGTTATATCACTGTGAACATGTAAAACGCTTATCTGTATGCCTGACTTCATACACTTTCAATGACTGTACTCTGTGTACAGACACTCCATAGGTGTCTTAGGTTTGGAGCAGTATCTTGCTGAGGATGGAAGTGCTGGTAAAATATCATGTAGGATTTCTCTTCCACTTCAGTGAAAGTAAAAAGAAAGAAAAACCTTACACTAAAAATAGATCTCTTTCTTTTCTCCTGTGTCAGTAAATCCTTACATTCCTGTTCTTATTCAGTGAAATTCATCAGGATCTTTTAACTTCCTCTACAGTGAGAATTTACAATGTGGTTTGGTGCTATTACTAGATTCACATCTCTGTAGTTGATCCTCTTGTCCTAGCTTTGCCACCTATAAGCAAGCCTTGTAATTTTGAACTGTGATTGCTGTGACTGTCAGAATTTTTAGGGAACACTGCTTTAGTGTTGCACTAAGTTCCGCTTATTTTGTCTTTGTTCAGTGGAAATGTTAAATAAGAATCCATGTCGTTGTTAAAGACGTGGAATTAAAATGTGTCTAAAAAATGACAAGTTGCTGCTATTTTTTTTTTTTAAAGGTGTATATGATATCGTGAATAATCTTGGTTCACTGGTGGCCAGGTTTATCTTTTTGCCTATTGAGGAGAGTTTTTATGTCTTTTTTGCTAAAGTGTTGGAAAGAGGGAAGAATGTAAAGGATCAGAAGCAGGTATGTTTATTTTGGATTAATTACATGTCAAATGCTTGATTTTTTTGTTACAGATTAGTTGCATTGCAGAAAAGTGACTGGCAGAAATGTGTGTTTAAATTTGAGTATAAAGGCTGTTAAAATTGAGAAGTTGAAGTGGAGAACAAAAATGTTGAGTGAGGCTGGACCAAAGAGAAAATAGGTAAAATGCTAATGAAATAGAAATTAAGATATTTAGTGGCATAATACTGCCTTGCATTATAACTGAAGTTAACAGCATCCGCTCCAAACAGTGTGATATGAATCTAGTGTACTGTGTATTTCCAGATATATTTAGGCAATTATTTAAATCATGAAAGCATGCTGTTTTTAGCAAATAAATGCTGTCTGAAAATGTTTGACTTCCTTTTAATACTTAATAGCAACTTATATTTTACCAGTATTGTTTCAAGAGTGCAGTTTTGGGAAGAAAGGAATTGTATTTTTCTTGAGCTTTTAAATTGTATGCGGAGTGTCAGTGGCTAAACAAACAAGAGTTTTGTTCCACAGAGTAATATTCATGCATGCTCTAGGTAAGAAATTCTGGATTGGTCATGATCAGGCTGGGCTTTTGTCTTCTACTATGACAACTTTTTATAGCAATCCTGCTGCTTGCACCGTGGCATGCTGTTAAACAAATCCCATCCTTCAGGTCATTGGTGGGCTAAGAAAGGTGTATGTATATGTATATTTTATATATAATGTACCTGATATATATAAAACTGGCAAAATGGTTATGAGTTTTCACTATATGTGAAATTACATCACATTACAAGAATGCTTCTTGTAACGAGGTAGTAGAACTGACAAGTTGCTTGTTCTGGTGTGGCAAATCCTGTAGTCTCATGCAGCAATAAAAATCTGACCCTCCCCGACTCAGACTGTGGCCTTGGGCAGATGCCGTGCTCTTCTTTGCCATTTACCAACTGTTAAACAGGTGCAAGTGCTGTTTGCACGTTTGCTTGAACAGACACGTTTGTGCCTAATATTTGTGTAGAATTTGTAATGAGTAAAACATAGAATAGAATAATAAGTGTCTAAACATTGTTGGAAGTTAAGCCCATGTGCATGGATAATTCAGTAACAAAGGATAAGTTTCACACCTTTTTACACTGTGCAAACTGATTTTTTTCTGTTAAGTAGCTTTTCTGCATGAAAATAACTATTATATTTATTCTCATTCATGTAATTGACTATTTTTCAGGACGATGTTGCTATGGCTGCAAATGTATTAGAATTGCTGTTGAAACTTGTGCTTCTGATTGGCCTTACCATCACGGTTTTTGGCTATGCCTATTCGCAGCTGGCTCTGGATATTTATGGAGGCTCAATGCTTAGTTCTGGAACAGGTAAAGATTTACAGAGCTGGCAAAGAAGCCATTCTTTAAAAAAAGAAACTGCAGCTATTATGAATTCTTGGGTAAATCAGCAGAATTTTTTTTTTTTAAAAACTCCTATTGAAATCAGTGATTTAGCTTGGCTGAATCCAGAACTGATGCTTTTGTTACAGTACTTTGAAAATAAAATATACTGAGCAGCTCTAAATAAGTATGATCAGGTTTGGGGCTCTAGCTTCCTGCTATTTCACATCATTAGAGAAAAACATTTTAAAGGATTGTTTGACTACTCCATGATGCCATCAAGAAGGAATATTCAGGGATGCACACTAAAAAGCATGGGATTTTTTTTCCCAGTGTTGTTATTTCAAAAGGACAAGAAAAAAAATTACAGTGTGAATGAAGAATTTTGAACTTACTTATATATATTATCTCTGACCCATAAAAATCCGAATACAATTTTTTATCTAGCAGTTTTGAATGTATTGAACAGTCTTTCTGTTTTTCTTACTGTTGTGTTCAAAATATACATTTCATTGCTTTTAGTACCTCATGACTATTGGATTAATTTCTACAAATTTCTGTCCAATAGAAGATTTGGGTTATGATAAATACTAATGTTTAATTAGGAAAGCCCTTTGAATAAAATACCTTTTTTATGATGGATATCTTTTCTGTTACTATAATAACTGCTATTCTTGGGTGGTTTGGGTTTTATTTTGGGGTTTTTTTTGCCTTGTTTATTTGTAGTTTTGTCAAGATTTCTAGACAGGAAAGGTGTTGACCTTAGGTTTCCAACTTTAGTGATAAAATTACAACTTTTATCTCTTACTATCAGTGAGTGTAAAAACAATGCGGTTTTATAAAAGAAATAATAATCTAATTACCATTCTGATGTGTTTTTTAGGTCCAGATCTCCTCCGATGTTACTCTTTATATGTCCTATTTCTTGCTATCAATGGAGTAACAGAATGTTTTACATTTGCTTTGATGTGCAAAGAGGAGGTAGACAGGTAGGAAATAGTGTCCCCAGAAGCATTACTTTTTGGTTTTTACCTGCTTGTATTTGTTGAGAAACATTAATCTTAAATTTATTTGTAATGACCTTAAAGAAATTGTTGCATTTGAAATCAGCATAAAAATATCCTGCCCCACTGAATACCAACTTTTTATTTAGGTGTCTGCATGTAGATTTAGATGCAGAAGCTTTAGCAAATGTTTAAATGTTTGAATAAAAAAGGTCAGAAATTAAGAAATAAAAAGATTATTAAATTAGCTTTTGGTACATCACTAACTGGAAAAGTAATTTAAATGTGAAGTCTTGTTTTCTGTAGGTATGCACTTTAAGTTAGAGTTTTTAAGACAGGCTATCATTTTACTCATTAAAATTTTGCAAATGTTAAAATTTTTCATGTACAGTTACTGTGTATCAGGTACACTTCTGAATGATCTAAATCATGGGTCTGAATTTAGTGGCTTATCTACTTCAAGTAGGATGCTGGACTAGATGACTTCTTGAGATCCCTTCCAGCCTGGTTTGTTTATTGATTCTGTGATCCTCCTGGGTTATTGACTTTGAAGCCTGGTTGCCTTCTCAGTGCTACCACCAAGCTTTTTTGGCTTGCATAGCAGCTGTCCCTTACAAGGCCTTTCCAAATTAATTACAATGAGGTCTACTTTCCACAGTCATAGTATGCTTTAAACTTAGCAAGGGCTGCTTTCATGACCCCTTTGAAGTGTGAACTTATTTTCAAAGCCACTGGTTGGAGCAGAAACTAAATAAAGCATCATCTTGTTATTGAGCATTATTTTTCTTTAATACGTACCTAAAATAAAATAGCAAAAAAATCCACAAGTTTTTACATCACTAATCATTGTTACTAAATTTGACTTTCTGAAATGAGTATATAGCTGACTAGTGAAACAGGATTTCCTTCACATAATGTAGTTCTTGGTTTAATTTGTTCAATGTTTGGTTTAATTCTTTCAATAAATTTTATTAACATCTTGGTTCTCAAAATTATCTCCTTCGTTTAGAAGATGGTAAAAGAATTTCTGTTCCTCATTTTAGAAAATGTGTTTCTTCAAGATAAAGTTAGTAAATACTGTAACTGTATACATTGTTAAATTGTTTCTTTTTTTTTTCTTAGGTACAATTTTGTTATGCTGGCCTTGTCCTTCACATTTCTGTGCATCTCGTATTTCTTGACCCACTGGCATGGCAGTATAGGCTTTATCCTTGCCAACTGCTTTAACATGGGTATTCGAATAGCTCACAGCATCCACTATATCTATGATTACTTCAAAGAAAGCACTTACAGACCTTTGACAGGCTTACTTCCCTCACCATTTTTGGTACTCATTTATATCATAAGTGGAGTAATCACTGGTTTCTCAGAGGTAAGCATCTTTCTCAGACTTTGCTTTCACTATGAAATTTAGTGTCAAATGACTTTTGTGTCCACAAGCAGAGAAATACCATTAGCAAAAAAGGTTTATGTGGGTGAGCTGGCAGACTTGCATTACAGGTAGGGCAAGATATAATATCAAAGAGATTTTATCTTTGATAAAAAGTTATCTCTGCCACCTGTAGAAGGTGTATCTGACAAGTAAAATAAAATCTAACACATTTCTGCTGTCTGTAGGTAAATCCATGTCCTTAGCTCTTAATAATAATTGAAATTATGCAGTAGCACAAAGAAAGTGTTATTAAAAATTCTGTAATGAAAAAGTGATAGAGGAAAAACAAAACAAGAACAGAAACAAAAATTACCAAGAGCACATTTATTGTGTTTATTCAGACTATAGAATGGTAATTGCAGACAGAGATGGTAGCATTTCCATGTACAAAAATTTGACAGATTGAAAATCCTTCATGCCTTAGGAGAGCTTTGTATTTTGGAATGGGAGATTTCCAGTGGGATTTTGTTAGAATATAGCCTAATACGTTGCTGTGATGTAGTAGATTTGCGTGGTAACACCAGCAAATTTTTCCTAGTATCTCAGTTAACATATTTCTGCGTGCCAGATAATAACTTCCACATTTACCAGGTATCTACTGAATGGTCATTTTTTGCTGACAGAATTTTCTTAACAAAGCAAGTGCTACTAAAGGTGATTTATCGTGCATGTGCTCAGCTTGATGGTAGTGTTAGCATGGTGAAGAGAGGTGTTGGACCTTTATGTTTTTATCCAGACAGTAAATCTACTTTGTGCTGACTAGTTTTCCTGCAATTGCTTGTTTCCTTTGTTGTAGGTATTCCTCTGCTGCGATAAGGGTTGGATGGGAAGGCTGATTCACATCAGCATGGGGGCTCTGTGCTTTGCAGCAACCATCATTACTATGTTCTGCACAGAGACCAAGCTGATCCACTTTGTCAGAAGCCAGTTCCTCTCCCGGTATATGAAGAAAGGAACATGAAATGCTTGTGTGCAGAATGGTTCTTGTACATGCTTACAGTAAAGGGCTGTATTTTTTTGCATAAGATCTGTATGGAAAAAGGTTTCTGTGTGTGTTTATCAGAAGCGTTGATATTGGAGTGGCAATGTAAAAGGTAGCTAACTGAATATTATTTTATCTTTTAAATTGGTCAGTACACTGAGAGAGCTGAGTAATTTTCTCTTCATGCATCATTCTTTTCTAAGGTTTTCTTCAAACAGCCTCTTTGGTAATGGATGAAGATCTAAGATACACCCTTCTGACATAACCTAGTTGACAGACTTCACGGAGAGAGCTCCCGTTCATACCTATGAGGAGTATACGTATGAAGGCATCATATGGCTTCTATCTTAAGATGTAATTGAGAATGCCCTTGTTTGGCATGGTGGGCTGCTTAACTGGGTTAAGAAAATAAGTGGTCTGTCAAAAAAACCCAACAAACCCCCCCAAAAAAAACAAACAAAAGCTGAAGAAAACCCTAGATCCAGGACCAATAGCGATATAACTGTTACGGAAGTAGAACATAATGCGGTGCAGAGATTGAGTTGTCAGTGTTTTGAAGTGTAAAGCAGTGAACAGAAAGTTCTGACGTTTACAAGTAAATTAATGGAACACACAGCATGTGTCCGTGCTAGCTATGTAAGATTATTTCATTCAGCACATCATTTATTTATGAGGGTATTGATTAACTCGTCAAAAATACTCCAGAGCCTTAGCTAGAATTAAAAGGGGTTTTTGAGCAGTTTTACAGAAGGTGTTAAATACAGTCACACTGAGGCTGAAGTTCCAGAAGTTTAATCATAAAACTTCTTACTTTCACTCCATTGTTTTTATCTGAGATTTAAAATGCCAGTAGAAACAAATTTGTCTCAATAAAAGGATTTTATCTTGTCTGTGAAACTGAATATTAAGACTTCTTTCAAGGATTTATGCATACTGAAACTTTCATTATGGTAGAAAATGCTTCATTTTATTACAACCAGTTTTCCTTATGTCTTGTTCTTTTGCTTGTTCAATCTTAACCTTTGTATTGATATTTTTTTAATTGTTGAAAATTTGGACATTTGGAAGTTGTAAAATTAGATATTAGGCTGCTGTTTTAGGTTGACTAATGGTATATTTTATTGCTGATCTAAGATCTGAATTTGGCAATTTCAGAATGCACAAGTGGCAGGTTTATAATGATCAGTGTTCCTTTTGCAGTGTTTGGATGGACCAAAAAATGTCAAGTGATGAAAAATGTGTGCTCAGACATGCACGGTTGAAAGCTTTTAGTTTAATTGTGTAGCAACTCCACAGATCTTCAGACCACTTAAAAAAATACTTCACTGTAATGGCATGTGGAGTTCATCCTGGTAACCATAGTTCACAGTGTGAAATGCTTTCTGGTATCGGTGTCTTCAGTTTGGTACTGTTAGAGACATTTTCTAAACTCTGGTAAATTTTGCTTGGAAAATATTGCCAGAGATATTTGGTGATTGAAAAATTATCACAGAGAAACCAAATGTAGTAACAGTGGGAGAAGAAGGGTGCACTTCCTCAGCTAATGGTGGTGTCCCCACTGCATGGCTGGGAGGCAGTAGATAGAGGCTTGTTGATTCTTCTCAAGTTGTTATGAGATCTATCAAACTCTGTGTTATTCTGTCCTGTTAAGTAAATTTAGTAGTTCTTTGCTTTTAAAATTTTTCTCTTTTGAGCTTTCTCGCAGCTTTTTTTTCTTGTTCCTATCAGGTATAGAATTTGTTACGAAGTACAGCTGCATATATTGCAGAGGGTTGAAACTTGTTGTAAATTGTCAATGTCAACAGTTTCTTTTCCTTGTTTGTAACTTAAAAAAACCCAACAAAACAAGACAGTTGAACTTATGGAATCTTTAGGGTCTGTTTCTTTCTGTATGACTTTGGGACCTGACTTTAGGCCCAGCCGGCAGCAAGGTACCACACGGCTGCTCGCTCACCCCTCCCCCAGCATGATGGGGAGGAGAAGTGTAACAAAAGGCTTGGGTCGAGGTAAGGACAGGGAGAGCTCACTAATTATCGTCACGAGCAAAATAAACTGAACTTAGAAAAAGAGATTCATTTAATTGATTACTAAACAGAATAGAGCAATGAAAAAAAAATAACATCAAGTCTTAAAACACTTCCCCCCACCCCTCCCACCTTCCTGGGCTCAACTTCACTCCCGGCTTCAACCTCCTCCCCCCTCAGCGGCACTTGGTTGAGGTCAATGCAGTGCACGTTGTTTCTGCTGCTTCTTTGTCCTCGGGGGGAGGACTCCTCTCATCGCTCCCCTGCTCCAAAATGGAGTCTCTCCCACGGGCTACAGTCCTTCCCGAACTGCTCTGACGTGGTGTCTTCCATGGGGTGCAGACCTTTAGGAGAAAACTGCTCCAGCGTGGGTCCCCCACGGGGTCACAAGTCCTGTCAGCAAAACCTGCCCTGGCGTGGGCTCCTCTCTCCACGGGTCTACCGGTCTGGCCAGGGACTTGCTCCAGCGCAGGCTTCCCACAGGCCACCGCCTCCCTCGGGTGCCTCCACCTGCTCC